TTTCCAGTGGAAGTGGCTGAGAAGATGGTCTTGGTGGCATTGGAATTTGTGGAGGATGATCCAGGGAAAAGGCCTGATATGAACAAGGTTGCAGGGCAGGTTTCAAAGTTTTATTTGGAGTCAAAAAATTGGGCTGACAAGATTGGTTTGCCTACTGATATTTCAGTCTCAATGGCTCCAAGGTAAACCATACATAACTGATTGAGGCTTGTCATTTGTATGAGCAAATTTTTCGGGGTCGTCAATTTCATCAGTAATGAGTGTTTATAGAGTTTTTGTTTTGCATTTATCTTTACGATTCATGATTCTTTTAAACAACCTGACGTACTTGTAGATATTTGTACATGTTGTGAGTAATATACAGGGATTAAGATTTGAGTTCATTTTTCTGCTTCAATGACTGCTGCTACATGTTAACAGATAAATTGTACTAGGTAATTGACCACTTCACATGGTTGATTGGAGTTGAGGGTTTACTATTGGTTTTGAATCTTTGATATAAGACTCTAGGTGGTTAAGATCTTCTCAACTTTTGTTTTATGCAATCATATTTCATCTTCAAAAGCTTAATCTTCCCGAACTTAATGGATGGATATAGAGATGTTTGAGTTCAGAGTGCAGACCGTAGGAATTAATGGAACTGGCCAATGTCAACGTTATCATTAGCCTAGTCACAGTTTTCTATTGCCCCATTTTATAATTATTGGACTGTAATCAAGCCATGAAATTTTTGCTGCCATTACTGTTAAAGTTTTTTCAAATGTTACAATCATAGATACTACTATTACAGTGTCAATTTCTTTGATGCTATTATTCTTTGCTTATCCAGAAGTAAAATTGCATGGTCAGACTACTTCAAATTGCATGCCTATCCTATTTTCTCATTATATAGTCCATGTAGTAGGCATCACTTGCATATGCATGGGCTACAACCGTATTTCTCCCTCTTCAAGATCTTCATTATGACCGGCCTCGGTGTCTTTGTCTTCCAAATACTCGTCTTTAATGAACAAACCAAGTTGATGCAGTGGATTCCCACGAGAAAGAGAGCATCCACTCAGAATATTGAGTTCCTTAACAATCTCCAAATTCAGTTCAATCCCAGCTGTGTTTTGCATCCTTTGCAATGCAATCCTTGCAGCTTCTCTTTCTTTTTCCCGTTGTTTTTTCAACCCAATCTCTGCCTTCAGTTTTGGTGCGGCTTCAGCAGCTTTGATCTGAGCTTCAATCTTTGCCTTTTCTTCATGCAACCTTCTTTTGAACTTTTCCTTTTCCTGTTGCATCTTCACTGGATCAGCTTTTGCACCATGAACAAGTAATAAATTCTGTTGAGCTTTCAAAATGGCATCTGCGAAACGACTTTTCAGCATTGCAGCGCGAAGAGCTTTCTTCGGTGATATTTGTAGGTCAACAATAGGGGTTAACAATGCATCTGTTGTAGGAGTTGTAAGTTGAGATCTAAGACAAACACTCTCTTGAACCAAAGCACTTACAGCCCCATCAGAACGTTGAATACTCTCAGACTTGCTCACTAGTGATGATGTCACTGTGATTTTTCCCTTGCAATCCAATCTAGTGGCATCAGCAGCATTACACTTTCTAAGATCCGCACCCAATGATCGTTTGATAGATGCATGATGTGATTTACTTGGAATTTGGGTACACCAACACTTAATGCTGCTGCTGCATGAGTTGGATTTGTTGGCACCATGGCTCAATGGTTGCATGGCATTGATGGACCCATGAGCACGCCCGCTTCTACCATTACTGATCATGCCTTTTTGTAAGTCTTTTCTTGCCAACTTTACACGGTTATGTGTTCGTTTTGGAAGCTCGATCTGATTCAAAGGCATCTTCACAATCGCAACCTTCTCCTCAGACTTAGATGGCTTTGATTTCTTGGACGAGAGAACAGCTTCGGAAGATGTAGCAGGAAAGTTGGTTTTAGGTTTGGCTTCTTCTGTTGTGTCAAACGTATCCATAGTTTTTTTACATGGATCACGTATTTCAGCTGCGTAGTATCTACCCCATGGCCTCTTCCTTATTCCCCTGTAATGCCCTCCTCTTGAAGACGCCATGAAAACAACCAAACAAACCAAAGATTGAAACAAGAACGTCAAACGAAACGAGGTTTCAGGCTTTAACGTGTTTATGAGATTAAAAAAAGGAAACAAATACGTTTGTTTGTGATTTATTACCCTTTCCCTACCCTTTGACTCTCCTCATGTATATAGGATTCTTTTCCTTTTAATCTGATCCAACGGAAGACATTGATTTTATAAACATAAACGTATAGCATTACCGTGCAAAAAAAGGGCCTGGGTTACAAAAATAAAATATTTAAAAAATGAGAGACAGCCAACGTCACATTAAAAAATTGGGCCATGTTGGATTTCAAACCCGAAAAAGACAAATGGGTAAACGGGTAGACAAATTGGGCTATTTCTTAGATTATAATATAATATTCTATTCAAGTATTTTTTACAATTGCTTAAGTTTAAATTGAAACGTATTAAATTTAAACTTGAGTTTAATTTAAAATTTAAAATTTGATTCAAATTAAGTTATATTTTTTAGCTTTATTTAGAGCCAACATAAAAATTAAGTTACTCAAATTTATTTAATTACATTATATGTAAAAATAAATTTAATTTTTATATTTAATAAAAATTTAATTATTTGTATTCGAATTTAAATTTAAGTTTAAGATATTTTATTAATTAAAATAATAAAAATATATTTAAATATAAAAATTTAATTAAATTTATGAATTGTTTGAACTCATATAAAAATATCTAAATTTAATTTAATTGATAAATTAAATTATTCGAATTTAAATTCGATATTATAATAATTAAATTAAATTTAAATTTTATTTGAATCAAATTCAAATAATTTCTGAAAATTAATATATCATTTACGGACAAAATTACGTGCCTAGAACGACTATAAGAAAAAAAAAGAAAAAGCACAGGAAAAAAGTGGTCAAAGCAACTGCGTGGTACGCTTCTTTTACTTGATATTCTTCTTCTTTTCACAAGTTTTTGAATTGAAGAAATCCCAGGGTAACAGTTGGTTTTTGGCATTCTTTTTCACCCAGAATTCACAGTCTATCTTCAGCTTTTCCTTCACTTTCTATCAAACCAAAACGACCCAACAACTCTCTTCAAGGTGATTCCTTTACTTTGTTTTACTTGTTTCCTGGATTGTGTCTTTCTTGGGTCTCAATTTGTTTTGATAGCTTTAATGGATATTAAAGTTAAAAGTTTGTTATGGAATGATAGCTTTAATGGATAAGAGGAGAGAGTTACTGAAATTGGAAGATGGTGATAGTTTTTTTTTTTTCCATAGCTTTTTTGAGGCCAAATAATGTAATCATTGGGCAATGACAATGTCGTAATAGAAAGTCAAAGTTGATTCATTATGCAACAATTTTAGTGAAGAAATTTCTCTTTAATGGCCATTTCTGTGGCTACTGCTGCAGAAGATATTGCAGGGTTCGATGACATGGTTTCTAGGACCCAACTTAAGTATTACATGCTCGGTGGCAAGGGAGGTGTAGGGAAGACAAGTTGCGCTGCTTCACTAGCAGTAAAATTTCAAATAATGGACACCATAATCTGGTGGTTTCAACTGATCCAGCCCATTCCTTGAGTGATTCTTTTGCTCAGGTTTAAATCCACTCCCTTGTTATTTCCAATGCTTTTCTTCCTGCATTTATCTGTTGTCGGGGCTCAGTCTGTTTATTTTTGATCTAGGATTTGACTGGAGGAACACTAGTACCAGTTGAAGGACCTGATTTTCCCTTGTTTGCTCTTGAGGTATATTGAATAAACTTCCTAATCAAGTTTCTCTTAGTTTTTCTTCTGAAGATTCTTGTCTGTCTGTTGCATGTAATCCTTGAGGTTATTTATTCTGTAAGAGATAACTATCTACTAGTTATTTTTTTAATGTTCTTTCTGCCCTGTCTACTCAGTAAGTTAAATTTATAGCTTTAACACAGATAAAGCCAGAGAAAGCTGCGGAAGAATTTCAAGATGCAGCTAACAGTAATGGTGGTACTGGGGTCAAAGAATTCATGGATGGCTTGTAGAACAGGTAAAGCTTTATTGATACATATGAGCATAGCAATTTCAGATACTTAGCAGTCCCTTGATGAAATTGCACCATGTAATGCCATGGATGGCCTCACTGGTTGCAATTTGGCCAGTAATTTTTGTTTTAAGCAAACTGCAAATTTTCTTCTAAATGACCCCATAACTTTTATTTGGTTAGAGTTGCATGCATTATTTGTTTCATGCTTCTCCCAATTACTCCTATGGTGAGGACTAATGGTGTGGCAAATACGCCCAATAACATGCATACCTGCATGTGAACATACATGTGCACATGCATACGCAGACACAAAGCCATGGTAACATGGAAAGTTTAAGATGCTAAGCCAGGAAGAAATGAGTAAATAACTTGAATTTCCTCATTGTTTGTGGATCTTAATCCTCTCTCTTTCTCTGTGTAGCAGCCTTTTGCCATTCAGGTCTCGCTTGTTATTCTTTTGAAATTTTTGATGCTGTTACTGTAAAAGTTTTTTCATATGTTACAGTCATAGATACTACTATTACAGTGTCAATTTCTTTGATGCTATTACTCCTTGCTTATCCACAAGTAAGATTGCATGGTCAGACTAATTCAAATTGCATGCCTATCCTTTTTTTCTCAATATATAGTTCATCTGGTAGGCACCTACAACAGTATTTCTCCCTCTTCAAGATCTTGATTCAGACAGGCCTCATTGTCTTCATTTTTCAAATACTCATCTTTGATGAACAAACCAAGTTGATGCAGTGGATTCCCACGAGAAAGAGAGCATCCACTCAGAATATCGAGTTCCTTTACAATCTCCAAATTCAGTTCAATCCCAGCTGTGTTTTCCATCCTTTGCAATGCAATCCTAGCAGCTTCTCTTTCTTTTTCCCGTTGTTTTTTCAACTCAATCTCTGCCTTCAGTTTTGGTGCGGCTTCAGCCGCTCTGATCTGAGCTTCGATCTTTGCCATTTCTTCATGCAACCTTCTTCGAACTTTTCCTTTTCCTGTTGCATCTTTACTGGATCTGATTTTGCACCATGAACAAGTAATAAATTCTGTTGAGCTTTCAAAATGGTATCTGCAAAACGACTTTTCAGCATTGCAGCCCGAAGAGCTTTCTTCGGTGACATTTGTAGGTTAACAATAGGAGTTAACAATGCATATGTTGTAGGAGTTGTAAGTTGAGAACTAAGACAGACACTTTCATGAACCAAAGCACTTACAGCCCCAACAGAACGTTGAATATTATCAGACTTGCTCATTAGTGATGATGTCAATGTGATTTTTCCCTTGCAATCCAATGTAGTGGCATCCGCAGCACTACACTTTCTAAGATCCGAACCCAATGATCTTTTGATAGATGCATGCTGTGATTTACTTGGAATTTGGGTACACCGACACTTAATGCTGCTGCCGCATGAGTTGGATTTGTTGGAACCATGGCTCAATGGTTGCATGTCATTGATAGACGCATGAGCACGCCTACTTCTACCATTACTGACCACCCCTTTTTGTAAGTCTTTTCTTGCCAACTTTACACCGTTATGTGTCGGTTTTGGAAGCTCAATCTGATTCAAAGGCGCCTTCACAATCACAATCTTCTCCTCAGACTTAGATGGCTTTGATTTCTTGGACGACAGAACAGCTTTGGAAGATGGAGCAGGGAAGTTGGTTTTAGGTTTTGCTTCTTCTGTTGTGTCAAACGTATCCATAGTTCTTTTACATTGATCACGTATTTCAGCTGTATAATATCTACCCCATGGCCTCTTCCTTATTTCCCTGTAATGCCCTTCTCTTGAAGACGCCATTAAAAACAACCAAACAAGCCAAAGGTTGAAACAAAAACGTAAAAAGAAACAAGGTTTCAGGCTTGTATGTTTTTATGAGATTAAAAAAAGGAAACAAAAGAGTACGTTTGTTTGTGATATATTACCCTCTCCCAACCCTTTGATTCTCCTCGTATGTAGAGGTTTCTTCTCTTTTGAATCTGATCCAACGGCAGACATTGATTTTAAAAGCATCAACATATAGCATTACCGTGTCAAAAAAAATGGGGCCTGGGTTTAAAAATAAAATATTTAAATAATGGCAGACAGCCAACGACGCATTAGATTGGGTAGACAAATTGGGCAATGTTGGATTTCAAACCCGAAAAAGACAAATGGGCAGGTGGGTAGACAAATTGGGCCATGTGTTGATTTCAATATTCTATAGACAAAATTTTATTTATTAAAATATTAAATACATATTTAACCCCTTAAATTTTATAATTTTTATCATATTGGTATTTAAAAATTTTTTCTATTGCATTAACACTTAAATATTCAAATTTGTTGGTTTTTAAGACTAACACTATTAGATAACTTTGTCAATGTAGTATGAATAACCAATAAGATATTGACATATGTTAAAAAGGTCATTACCACGTTATTAATGTCAAGTCATCTTTAAAATAAAAATTTTTTTAAAAAAATTTTAAAAATTCTTAAAAAATTTTTAAATAATTTTATTCTTTTTGGGAAATTCAAAAAAAATAATTCAAATAAAAAATTTAAAAAAATTAAAAATTCAAAAAAATTTTAAAATTTTTAAAAATCATCAAAAATTCAAAAATCTAAGAAAATTTTGAAAAATTTCTAAAAACTCTAACAATTTTTTAAAAGTTCTATAATAATTTCAAATTTTTTTTAGAAAATTCAAAAACATTAAAAATTAAAAAATTTTGAAAAAATTTAAAAAAATTAAAAACTTTTAAAAATTTTAAAAATTCCTAAAAGAATTAAAAAATTTTAAAAAAATTCTAGAAAATTTTAAGAAAATTCAAAAAGGATTAAGTAAACTTAAAAATTTTCAAATTTTAAAAAAATTCAAAAAATTAAAAGAATAAAAAAATGACAATTCTAATAAAATTAGAAACTTTGTTAAAATTAGAAAAATTATAAAAAATTCAAAAAGACTAAAATAAAAAAAAAATTGAAATAAAAATAATAATTTTCAAAAAATTTTAAAATTTGAAAGTTTTAAAAATATTCTAAATTTTTTTTTTCATATTTTCTAAACTTACAATGTCAATTTTTTTTATATTTTTTGTATTTTAAAATTTTTGTGAAATTTTTTGATTTTTTGTTAAATTTTAAGTTATTTATTTATTTATTTAATTTTAAAGAATGTTTCAAAATTTGAAATTATTTAATTTTTAAAAAAATTTTAAAAGATTTTAGATTTTTTCTTATTTTTAGTTTTTTAAGTTTTCGTGAGCTTTTTAAACTTTAAGAAAATTTAATTTTTATAAATATTTATATTAATAATTTTAAATAAATTTTAATATATTGTTAAAATTTTTAAAATTTTTTAGAAAATTTAATAATTGATTTAAATTTTCCTATAATTTTTTTAATTTTTTTGAAAAATTAAAAAAATTTAGTTTTTTTTCTATTTTTTAAAATTTAATAATTTTTTTTTTATAAATTTTAAAAAATTTTTATAATTTTTTAGAATTATTTTTAAGTTTTTAAAATTTTTTAGAAACTTTTAAAATTTTTAGATTTTTTAAAAAATTTTAAAGTTTTTTTCTAATTTCTAAAAAAATTTAAAAAACTTTTAGAATTAAAAAAAATTATATTTGATGATAATTTTTTTAATATTTTTTGAATTTTTAAGAAATTATTTATAATTTAGAATTTTTAAAAAAATTTTGAATTTGTTAAATAATTTTTTTTAAATTTTTGATAATTTTGTAACTATTTTTAGAATTTTTCAAAATTTTTTAGAAGTTTTTTGAAAATTTCTTTTAAAGATGATTTGATATTGATAATATGATACTGATTAATTTTTTTTATTTATATGTTAATATTTTATTAGATGTTAATATTATATCAATAAAATTGACTAATAATATTAATATCATATGCCAACATTATAATGGATTTAAACGTTTAGATACTAATATTACAATTTTTTTTTAAATATCAATAAAAAAATTATAAAATTCAAAAATCAAGTATATAATTAACCCTTCATTATAATAGCCAAAGGAACTACTTACCACGCTTCTTTTACTTAATATATATATATATATATATATTTTTTTTACTTCATATATATATTTAAAATTTTAATCTACTTTTAAATCCTCAAATCTTATTATATATCTAATTGAATATATTTTACTTCGTACGTGTGTGTATATATATATATATATAAATTTTAATTTACTTTTAAAGCCTCAAATCGTATTATATACATAGGTGAATAGGATGTTAGATGATTACGCTATCTCTAACCCGTAACATAATGACTGATTTAAAGGATTAAAGCATAGACGGCTCACATTCTTCTTGTTTTCACAAGTTCAAGAAATCCTAGGGTAGCAGTTGGTTTATTGCATTCTTTTTCACCCAGAATCACAGTCTATCTTCATCTTTTCCTTCACTTTCTATCAAACCAAAACGACCCAACAACTCTCTTCAAGGTGATTCCTTTACTTTGTTTTACTTATTTCCTAGATTGTATCTTTCTTGGGTCTCGATTTGTTTTGATGGCTTTAATGGATATTAAAGTTAAAAGTTTGTTATGGAATGATAGCTTTAAGGATAAGAGGAGCAATTTATTGAAATTGGAAGATGGTGATAGCTTTTTTTTTTTTTTTTGTCCATACCATGTTTGAGGCCAAATAATGTATCTGAGAATCTTTTAAATGATTTCATCCTAGATAGCAATTTTTATTTATTATTAAGAATCCTGCAAAACAAATTACAATTTTCTTCCTAGTGTTAGTAATCTCTAGTCTGCTCTCTAATTTTCATACTTCTACATTTTTAAGTTTCTGTATTGCCTAGTATAGTAATGAAATATGCAACATTAATTACCAATAATTCTTAAGTATCTTCTGTTAGCTTATGCCCTTGTTTCTTTTCATCTTTTAAGTATCATTCCATTCTTAATTAGTGTTTTCTTAACATGTTTTAAAAGATATTTCTTTTTGTTTTGCTTATCCTTTATTTGATGCCGTCTTTCTAAAGCTTGCCCATTGGGTTCCCATTGTCCGGTTGCAACACTCAATAATACTATTGGCATATGTGAGCCGTAAGTTCATACTTTTCTAAACATTGCTTTCAAATTGAATGGCCTATGGTTATGAGAACGTTCATATTTCCAGCTGCCTCTGGGACAGCCAAACCATACTTGTGGAGGAGCCAATATATAGGCTGATGTTCATAGCAGTAGCGATGTTTTCTGTTTGGCAGGGTCATATTGTCCTACAATGACCCAGGAAAAGCCTTGCAGTTGTGGGTATTAGTTTTCTTCCTTACACTTTGTCGCTTCTCCTAGAGCTCTGATGCTTTGCCAGTTTCATTGGAAAGAATGAATCAATCTGCTTATATAGGAAAATAATTGGTTTTGTACCACAAGATGATATCGTGCATGGGAACTTGACAGTGGCAGGGAATCTATGGTTTAATACTAAGTGCGGGTATGCTAGATTCAACCCTTTTACATTAGCAACATACCAACTGACACATGTGCATATTGCAAATTTTATTCTTGTTCCCTTTCTGGACCATGTCACTTTTTATGTTTGTAAGTTGCTGTAAGTGGGCTGATATTATTGAGTGGTGGTGATAACTGAACCTTCCTCTTTTATACTAACGGAAAATAACCTTCCACTTTTAACTGAACCTTTAGTTATTATTTTTATTTCAACCAGTTCGCCATGGATGTATTTAATATCTAGGAATCAAATCGCATTCAATTCCACTTGAACACGAATTGATTGGCTCCTCCCCTCCCATATCCATTCCCCCCCAAGAACCCCCAATACCAATGCACCCACCTTCCCCAGAATATAGAACCCTAGTTTTTGACCTGTTTCTTTCGCTGTCATGTTATTGCTGAAAGGTGTTTCTTATAGATGACAACATTAGAGTTCACTTATAGTTATGACTGATACTCCTGAAGTGATTTACTAGCTTTTGACAGCATACTTGAATTATATTTGATCTTCTGGATTATTTTCCTGTCAGTTATTTTGTATTGACTACTGCTATTTTCCCTACGTGAGAAACTTCATAATATTGAAGACTGCCTGCTCATTTATCAAAACCAGATAAAGTTCTTCTTGTTAAAAGAGTTATTGAGTCTTTGGGGCTTCATATGGTGCGTGATTCCTTGGTGGGAACTGTAGAGAAGCGAGGTATCTCAGGGGGCCAGAGGAAGCAAGTAAATGTTGTATTGGAGATGGTCATGGAACCATTACTTTTGATCTTGGATGAACCCACATCTCGTTTGGACAGTGCATCCTCTCAGCTGCTTCTTAGAGCACTTAGACGAGAAGCTCTTGAAGGAGTAAATATCTGCATGGTGCTTCATCAACCGAGGTAATGATTCTTCTATCAGAAGTCTACATTTTCAATCTGGTATTCATGAATTTGCTTCAGTCACCGACTGCTAACTGCTGTCTCCTTGCATATAATAAGCATATTAACTGATTTTCTGGAGTTAGAAACTTAGTTAAGAAAAGTCGTTCTAAAATTCATTTTAGATTCTAAGGAGTGTGAGTTTACAGAAATTTTCCTCTATTAATTGCTGAAATTTCTGCTTCAGCTATGCAATGTACCAAATGTTCGATGATCCAGTGCTTTTGGCAAAATGCGGTCTCACTGTCTACCATGGTTCAGCAAGGAAAGCAGAAGAATACTTTGCAGGCCTTGGTATCCATGTCCCAGAATGTGTTAATCCTCCAGACCACTTTATTGACATTTTAGATGGTATGGTAAAACCAAGTGCATGCTCAGGTCTGAACTATAAAGAACTTCCTGTCAGATGGATGCTTTACAATGGGTACCCAATCCCCCCTGATCTGCAGACAAAATGCTGCTTGGCTTGCTACACCCTCCGTGGTTGTAGGTTCAGCAAATGGGACAAATCCTGCTCGTGCTGGAATGGAGGAAGATCTTTTGCTGGAGAGTTTTGGCAAGATGTCAGGAGTGGTGTGGAGTTGCATGGGGATAGCATACGTTACAATTTCTTAAAGTTTAACGACTTATCAAGCAGGAGAACTCCGGGTGTACTCTGGCAATGCAGATGCTTTCTTGAGAGACAATTACCATCTAGTTTTTGCTAAGATTGCAGGTGGCTTCAAACTTTTTATGATGATTAAATCAGTACAATGATCAATGATTAAAACCTTATTTATACAAAACATTTTTAATAGCTTTTGTCAAATATGTTGAATCATTGATTATACATATTTTCCGCTTCTTCATTCCTGTAATTATTTCAGGGTTGGTAAGCAGCGGATGAGGGAAGCTAAGGTACAAGCAATAGATTATCTGATTTTACTGCTTGCTGGAGCCTGCTTAGGAACATTAGCTAAAACAAGTGATGAAAACTTCAGGGCAGTTGGTTATACTTATACCATAATTGCAGTCTGTAAGTCGGACAAAAATTGTTACTTATGCTAGAAGGATATTCGAACTAATTTGCTCTTTTGATTTGTTCCCATGAAAGTTGCAAAAGTACTGTAGGAATTTCATTTAACTTTTGCCTCCTGCAAAGTCATTAGTTTTTCAGAAAACATTAGATTCATTTGGAAATGAAGTGTAAATTGCATAAACAAGGCTAAAATACATTTGCAACAATCAATAATTTTGCAAGATGTCGAATCCATAAAATACATTTGCAACAATCAATAATGATTTAAGATGGCAAATCCGATGGTAATTCGATTTCCATATCAACTAACTTGCTCACCATAATGATTCTTGATGTTTTCAGCCCTTCTATGCAAAATAGCAGCTTTGAGATCATTTTCACTGGATAAATTACAATATTGGAGAGAGAGTGCATCTGGCATAAGCAGCTTGGCAGTGCATCTGGCATAAGCAGCTTGGCAAGTTGGCGTACTTTTTGGCCAAAGACACAATTGACCATTTTAATACTGTGATCAAGCCTGTGGTGTATCTCTCTATGTTCTATTTCTTCACAAATCCAAGATCTTTGTTCGCGGAAAATTTATTGTCTTGCTGTGCCTAGCGTACCGTGTGACTGTTATAGCCTATGCATTGGCCATCTTCTTTCAACCTGGTCCAGCCCAGCTGGTGAGTAAGATTAGTGCTTATTACGAATGGAAAAAATGTCATTTTACCAATATAAAATTTTATATATCGTTTCATTTTCCTTCACATGCTACTGTTTTTTTGTAGTGGTCGGTTCTTCCAGTTGTTTTGACTCTTGTTGCCACCCAGAAACAAGACGGTGAAGTTTTGATAAAGATACCTAATTTGTGCTACCCCAAGTGGGCTTTGGAAGCTTTTGTGATAGCAAATGCTGAAAGGTATGGCAAATTCACCCTTTATCTATTCAAGACATCAAAGATAAATATGTATATGTTGCTCCTTAAGGTTGAGCATCTCATGTCATGATAATCTTAAATACCTAATTGGGTTAATTTGGAGAAAGAGATGCTTCCAGATCAAGAAACTTTGGAAACCTCCTTCAATTACTTAACCTAACCTAAACATAACACAATCTCAATGGCTTAGTCTGTGCTAAATCGCAGCAGAATTAGCCAAATCAATGTGAACTGCAACCTAGACTGGTTAGCTTGGGAACGAAGGAACATGCAATACTATGGAAGAACTATCAAGCTTGTAAAGAACTAAGCAATGGATTAAGCTGCAGTGGAAAACCGAAAACCTATTGTTTCTTCGATTAGGTTTCTGGCTTTTAGGTCTTATAAATTGTCATATGCCAGAGTCTTGACTGAAAAGTTTGGCCAACTCTAGGTAAAGAAAGATTTCTGCTTCATTGAGAAGGATCTTCTCTGTAGAAATGATTTTCTTGTATATATGGATAAAATCTTTTAGACTGAATTAGACACAATATATTATTTGATCATATCTATCAAACTCTTTTGATAAATTTATCTTAACAACTTGTATGGAGAAAAAGAAATGAAATTTGAATCCAAATAATTATGGCCACTTGGGTAGGCTTTGCATCCAAGAACCACAAACCCCGTCAAGATACTGAAATGAAGGCTTCTCTTTGATCTGTGATAATATTCGAAACTGTTTGTGGTTCTTCTTCCATTACTAGTCTTGTTATAGAAAAATTTAACAATTAGTGTCATACTCTTCAAAATTATGTGCCTGGTGGCTATTTATTTTGGCCTCTCTGGTGGCTACTGATTTCAAGAAGTCAAGTATGAGAAAGCACAATTTTGTGATGGCTTAGTTTTACCATGCTGTTTTTGGGCCAAAATGCTGAAGCCGGAAGTTTTTTATAGGGCAAAACTTTGGTAGTTCGTAGAAGGAGATAATAATACTTGCATAAGTTGTGGAAGCTGTGAAGCCTTGATTCACTGTAGCTGCCAAATTTCTTTTGGTTGATAAATTTGTGAGAGGTGTTCTTTTATATGTGATTGATTATATGTCTGACCACAAAAACTAATGTGCACTCTAAATAGGTTTATCCTTCCACCAAATTATTTATTAGTTCTTTTATCCCTTTCCGGCCACCAAATTCCAGATAGAAAGAACCTTTTAGTATGTATCAGTGTACATCCTAAATAGGTTGTGCTTTCACAGATCAGCAGAGGCATTCAGGATATGGTGATAGCTTAGTTTTAGTATGCTATGTTTGGGGGCCAAAATGCTGTATTTCGGCAGTTTGCTGAAGGAGATAATAATACTTGCATAGGTTGTGGATCAAGCTGCCAAGCCTTGATTCACTGTTGTCTCCCAAGTTTCTTTTGGATGATAAATTTCTGAGGGAGCTTCTTTTATATGTGATTGACTATATCTCTAAATGAGTGCTTCTACATGTTACAGATAAATGGTACTAGATAATTCACTGCTTCATATGGTTGTTTGGAGTTGATGGTTTACTATTGGTTTTGAATCTTTGATATAAGACTCTACGTAGTTAAGATCTTCTCAAATTTTGTTTTATGCAATCATATTTCATCTTCAAAGGCTTATTCTGTCTTGAACTTAATGGATGGATATAGAGATGTTTGAGTGCAGACCCTTGGAAATAATGGAACTGGCCAATGTCAATGTTATCATTAGTCTACTCACAGTTTTCCATTGCCCCGTTTTGTAATTATTTGGACTGTAATCAAGCCATGAAAATTTTACTGCTATTACTATTAAAGTTTTTTCGTATGTTACAATCATAGACACTACTATTACAGTGTCAATTTCTTTGATGCTATTACTCTTTGCTTATCCAAAGTAAAATTGCATGGTCAGACTCCTTCAAATTGCGTGCCTATCCTATTTTCTCAATATATAGTTCATCTAGCAGGCACCACTTGCATAAGCACAGGTTACAACAGTATTTCTCCCTCTTCAAGATCTTCATTCAGATCGGCCTCATTGTTGCCGTCTTCCTAATTCTCGCCTTTGATGAACAAACTGAGTTGATGCAGTGGATTCGCACAAGAAAGAGAGCATCCACTCAGAATATCGAGGTCCTTTACAATCTCCAAATTCAGTTCAATCCCAGCTGTGTTTTCCATCCTTTGCAATGCAACCCTAGCAGCTTCTCTTTCTTTTTCCCGTTGTTTTTTCAACTCAACCTCTGCCTTCAGTTTTGCTGCGGCTTCAGCAGCTCTGATCTGAGCTTCAATCTTTGCCTTTTCTTCACGCAACCTTGTTTCCACCTTTTCCTGTTCCCGTTGCATCTTCACTGTATTAGCTTTGACACCATTAACAAGTAATAAATTCTGTCGAGCTTTCAAAACGGTGTTTGCAAAACGACTTTTCAGCATTGCAGCGCGGATTGCTTTCTTTGGTGACATTTGTAGGTCAACAATAGGAGTTAGCAATGCATCTGTTGTAGGAGTTGTAATTTGAGAACTAAGACAAACACTCTTATGAACCAAAGCACTTACAGCCCCAACAGAACGTTGAATATTATCAGATTTGCAAATTAGTGATGATGTCAATGTGATTTTTTCCTTGCAATTCATTTTAGTGGCATCAGCAGCACGGCGCATTCTAAGATCCTCACCCAATGATCTTTTGATAGATGCATGGTGTGATTTACTTGGAATTTGGCTACTCCGACACTTAAATGCTGCTGCCACATGGGTTGCATTTGTTGGCACCATGGCTCAATGGTTGAATGGCATTGATAGACCCATGAGATCGTCCACTTCTACCATTACTGATCATGCCCCTTTTTGTAAGTTTCTTCCTGCCAACTTTACACAGTTACTTGTCTGTTTTGGAAACTCAAACTGATCCAAAGGCACCTTCACAATCACAACCTTCTCCTCAGATTTAGATGGCTTTGATTTCTAGGGCGAGAGAACAGCTTTGGAAGATGGAGCAGGGAAGTTGGTTTCAGGTTTGGCTTCTTCTGTTGTGTCAAACGTTTGCATCCAAACCCTAGTTTTTTTACATGGATCACGTATTTCAGCTGCGTGGTATCTATCCCATGGCCTCTTTCTTTTCCCCTGTAATGCCCTTTTCTTGAAGACGCCATTAAAAACAACCAAACAAACCAAGGATTGAAACAAGGACGTAAAAAGAAAAGAGGTTTCAGGCTTGTCCGTGTTTATGAGATCAAAAAAAGCAAACAAAAGAGTGCGTTTGTTTGTGATTTGTTACCCTTTCCCTACCCTTTGATTCTCATCATATATATTTATATATATGTATACGGGTTTTTTCATCTGATCCAACGGCGGACATTGATTTTATAAACATCGACATGTAGCATTACCGTGTAAAAATAAATGGGCCTGGGTTTTAAAAATAAAATACAGAGAGACAGCCAGCCCCACATTAGATGTGAGTAGAATGGGATGATAAATTGGGCCATGTGTTATATTATAACATTTTATCCAAGTTTTGTCTGTCTCTATGGGCAAAGCTCTGTTCATTACCTTCTTTGATTAGAACAACTAAAAAAAAAAGGTAGAGGAAAAAATACCCAAAGCAACTGCTTGCCACACTTCTTTTACTTCACATTGTTCTTATTTTCACAAGTTTTTGACTTGAAGAAATTCCAGGGTAGCAGTTAGTTTTTTGCATTCTTGTCATCCAGAAATGTGTGTTATCTTTTTTATTATTTTCTTGTAGTGTCATTTGTTGTATTCCTAACATATGTAATCTTGCTGATCACCGCGCAATGGGGATCTATGTTGCAGGATTCTTCACTTTACTCTTTTATATTCTTTTAATCTATAATCCTATTGCAATCTTGCTATTACATGGAACAAACCTGTCTGGCAGGCTGAGAATATGGCTTAAAAAGCCATTTCTGCTTTTTTATTTAGGAAAAGAGTTTCCTTCACCTACCTGAACAATGAGTTCTTATTCTAGAATCTGGAAAATGATAAGTTAGGCTTCATGCTGACATTTTTGAAGTCATATGGGGATATGACTTATGGTTTGATTGCTTTATAAAATCATCAGCTGAGTATCTGTAGCGTTCATGATTTGTGTAATTCTGGTTTGATTTATGTAATTCTGTTCTAAAATACTCTATCCAAGCATTTGCCTCAACAGTTGGTAGATGATTTCCTACTCAAAGATTCGATCATGGATTTTCTGTCCATTAAGTTTTTCAATATACACATATTAAGATCCATCATCCACCATGAATAGTGAAAATTATAATTGTGAATGATGATTAAAGTTGTATTGAAAAATAATAGATAAAAAAGCAAAAGAGGAAAGTCGGAACAAGATTTAAATCCTCGTTCCAAAATAAAAAATAGATACTAGTTATGGTTTAAAATTGAAATATGTTTTTTTTTTTTGGCAGTGACAGATTCAATTTGTGATATAATCCAGTCCTGCCTTCTGTTATTGGCATGATGGAAATCAAATTAAGGATGACAGTTTCATTGGCACACCTGTTGTTGATAAAGGCTCATCTTTTCAAATTAAGGTGCTGTTCTTCGCCAAAGCTCCAGATATTACCGGGTTGACTGAATTGCCATTGGAGGTTTCATCGGGTAGTACTACATAGGATTGTCTAAACCAGCTTTTGGGTAAGTTTCCATCCTTGGAAGAGATTCGTGGGTGCGTCGTTCTTGCTCTCAACGAGGAATATACAACTGAGTCAGCTGTTATTAAGGACAAAGATGAGTTGGCTGAATACTTCTGTTTCATAGTTTTACAAGAACTAAAAGAATAAAATTGCTCCAAATCCGTATAATTTTCAATGGAGCAGTGAGAGGACCTCATGATTATGAATAGAGAGGCACTTGAATCTGCAATATTTACTGAGTCATTTATGTTCTTGATTCATTTTTTTTAATGCGGTTTGTTCATTTGGAAGATGACAGTATATGTACAAGTTATGGAAAACACAATAGCTACTTATGTTCATATTCCTTTTCCCTTATCGCGGCATCACCTCTCGTTGGATTTTGCCCTGCATTGAGAGCATTTTCTATTGTAGATTATCCATATGAAAAATAATAGAGTAGGTGTTCATGGATGGGATTGATATGATTTAAATTCGGTTGATATACTGTTCGTGCTCTAATTAATCCATTTAAAATTTAAATATTATTAAATATATATATTTTCCTCTGTCTTCACAACATACACAAATTGAATTTACGATTTAACACATAATTTCAATTTTATCAATTTTTTTGCTTTCATTTTCACATGCATTAAAATTAGGTTCTTGTTGAGAGGTATGGATCATTAATAGACTACATATATAATAATTAACGTATACATTTTCTTTACCTGTCACCAGAGATTCCATTGAAATCTTGCTTGTCAACCAAAATAAAAAGTTTTCCTTTTTTGTACGGAATTGTTCAAATTCGGCTGATTCTTGCTTTGACCAAGAGAGATATGTTTGAGTTGTGAAGCCAATATTTGTTTGAAAAACCTTGGCATTATCCAATATTATCCTGAATCATAATCCAATCTTTGAAACAAGCTTTCCTATTGCAATATCTACAAGCTAAGGCTTTGAACTGTTCAAAGAAGCTTTGGTGTAATCAAATGCATACAAAATATTACAAAATAGTGGCAGAAACCACATATATCTTAGAACTATAAGTTGAATTTTCGCAAATATTCATCCTAATTTTTATCACGGCTGATGTTGAAAACAACAAACAATTTACCCAAAAAAACTTCAAACTTTGAAGCATAAGCCAGCTGTATGCAAGAAAGGTCAATAATGACCAACAGGCTAACGTACTCCTCATCTATAAATACCCATCTTCCCTAATTGCCATAACACAAAGTCACAAACAAATCAAAGCAGGAAATTAATTGAGATAGTGCAGTAGAGTGAAAGGAACAAAAAGATGGCTTCAGATGAATGCAAAGGTAACTTTCAATCCCAATATTGCCTTGTAATTGTACTAATAAATTCCTGTCCTTTAATACAATTATATAAATCCTTGTGCCTATAAATATATGTAGGGAAAAGTTCGTGGCCGGAGCTTGTGGGGAAGAAAGGGGAGGATGCAGCAGCAACAATTGAGAAGGAGAATCCTCATGTCAATGCTGAGATAGTGTTGGAAGGAACAATAGTCACTGCAGATTTCTTGTGCACTAGGGTTCGTGTTTGGGTTAACACTTATGGGGTCGTTACTAGGGTTCCGATCATTGGTTAAATTGCTAAGGGTTTAATCATGCTTGGATAGCAAGTTACTTGCTTTTATTCTTCTATAATATTGTGTAAAATGTTATTATGGGGGATCTATATGTTTTTATTTAAAATAAGAATAATGCCCCAAGTTATGATTATATATATGGACCTCATGGTTTCTATGTAAGTGTGTAATTTGTTTCAACTTTGGAATAAGATGCTAAACGGTTTCGATTAAGGCTTACCCTTTATCATATTTTTGTCATTATCTTGAAATTGTAATTAAGCCATAAGTACTGCAAAATTTTGATATTGTCAACCTACAGGGTAGAATCTTTATTTATTTTTATTGATTAAAGAGTAGAATTTGTATGTTGATACATAAGTTGATAACTTGGTGAAGTAATTATGATTTGATAAATTGGCTAATGATATGATCGATTTTGAGGCATTCTATGCTACAAGTTTTTCAATATGGATGTCATTGTCAAAGACAAGGCTGAAACGAGAATACAGAAAGGTTATTCAAACTTTCCATATACACATTACCCCCTAATGGAAAATTACTTAATAATGGTGATTTAGTTTGAAATCATTGTTCTGAAACAAGGGGATATGAGATTAAAATAAGTTAACATTTATCCAATACTTTTCTCCCACGTATACACATTAATCATAAATGAAATGGAAAAAAAAAATCTAATTTATCTTATGACATGCAAAGACTTTTCAACTTTATATTATGTTGTGTGATGATTCCCTTCTTTACATTTTTGCTTTCACATGGATGGAAATTTTACGTCTTGCATGTTTTCTGCATTTGTAAAACTAGATACCATTAGATTCCAATGGAGTTATCCTTTTTCGTTTTTATTTCTTAAATCCGACTGTTTGGGTATGAAAATACGTATGAATTTATCTTAAAGAATCAAATGCTGCGATATACCAATGGAATTGTAAAACGAGAAAGTCAAGAAAAAAATAACAAGAATTCCTACATATGTAGATATCAAAAAATGAATTCAAATCTGTCTCTCTGACTAAAACAACAAACCATGTCTCTCAATGATAAATTGAGTGGTTGTGGCTATGACAGATAAGTTTGTATGTTATTCAGGCCGACGACATTGAAACTTAGACCAGATTCACCAGAATACCAGGGCTGTATTCAAATAATCGATTAATGTTGGTGTTGACTGATAAGGTACTGAAATTGTACTTTCTGCAATTAAACAAGGCAGACATTGAACCCTTTAGATAAGCTTTGCTGAAACACATGCATATATGAACTTTCTATTAGTCAAATTATTGGTGGTCAAGAGATCATTTAATTTGGCTAATTAAACAAGTTGACGTAAATCTCTTTCATTTGGTTGGTTTCTAACTAAATTCCAGGTTTGTGCCTGTTAATTAAGAACCACACAGCTTACAATTAAATAAATAATTCAATTTGTTCATACAATCATTATTAAAAGTGGCATACAGTAGATAATTTAGGATCAAAATCTCAACATCTGTAATCTATTATTTTATTTT